CTTGGCCACCCTGAGGAAATGTTGACAGACTGGGACCCCCTGGGAGGATTCACTTCTGTTCCCAATGTTACTCATTTGGAGAAAGCAGCTCTTACTGGGTTTCAGTGGAGTCCTGGAGCATTAGAATGACTTCAGACTGACATTCTGGATTTTGGTTTCACCAAATTTACTCAAGATAGTACTGGCCTAAGATGTGCCGAAGACAGTTGGCTGACCATCATTATCTTTTCATAATTATTTTTTCACACATTGCCAGAAGGTAATAAATTGGTTTGCTTTTTAAAGAAATTAAAATAATAAAAGAAAAACCTTTTGTGATGTCAGGTCAAACAAGGGAAAATCTTTTACTTATATTATTTCACTTCAGCTACTTAAACTTCAAATTCAACTTAATCACCTTGTAGCCATTAAAACAACATGGAACAAGAAAATAATTTATGCAAATAAATGATATGACACAAATGAGAGCACTTAGCAATAGCTGTAGACAATGAAAAGTTAATTGGCAGTGAAAGGTTTGTTTATGTAAGGACTTATAGTTGATTTATGTTAGCGCTTCCCGCTGATTGTAGCCATCATGTTAAACGATTGCTTGATACCCTAGAGATTTTTTAAATGCTCTCATGCTTAAACAAGTCTGAGCATTTGAAGCACGCTGTTTTATAGTTATAATGGTTACCGGATTGCTACACAAGCTCCATTAACTCCAGTGTGCTGGCTAAGTAGTATTTTTCATGTTTGACACATCTGTCATACTCGCTTTAAATGTGTGCCTCATAAACCTCATGTGCTGTGAGACCATCTACATTTCCTAAATGAATCAATGTTCCAAAAACATTTTGCGCTATATTTTCCCCATTATATTTTATGGGGAGGAACAGGATTGTAAACTGTAACTTTCTCCAAATGGTTATGGTAATACTACCATTAAATGTGCTGTTGAATTGCGTAGATGAAAAATCGGATAACAGAAAGAGACAAGTCTGGGTTTTGGCTGGCACAGTCACCCCTCCAGATGGCACAGTTTGGCATCTCCTTTTATAATGAAGGGATGGCCTAGGACTTAAGGGGCAGTGCCAGCTTATATCCAGTGTATTGTTGTCATATTGGTGTATATAATACAAGAACTGTTTACTATTCAAAGGGTTCAGTAACTTTGTCTAAACACAGACAATACCATATAAGGGTTTGGGGTCAGTAAGATTTTGTTTGAAAAAAAAAAAAAAAACTTTTATTCAGCCAGAATGCACTAAATTGTTCAAAAGTGACAGTAAAGATTTTTACATTGTTACCAAAAATTGTTATTTTAAATGCTGTTCTTGTGAACTTTCAGTTCGTCAAAAAAAAATCCTTTATCACGGTTTCCTCAAAAATATGAAGCAGCACAACTGGTTTGAACATTGATAATAATAAGAAATGTTTCTTGAGTAGCAAATCAGCATATTAGAATTATTTCTGAAGGATCATGTGACGCTAGATTAATGGCTGCTGTACCATCACAGGAATAAATTACATTTAAATTATATCAAAACCGGAAAAATGTATTTTAAATTTCAAAAATATTTCATAATATTACTGTTTAACTGAATTTCTGATTAAATAAATGCAGCTTTGCATAATACACTTCTTAAAAAAAAAAAAAAATCTTACTGATGCCAAACATTTGAATAGTAGTTTAAGTCTTCTAGTCTGGGGAGCAATAAAAAATATCGCATAATTAATCTGAACTAATTACAGAACATGAATGCTATTTAGAATTTATTCAAACTGTGAGAAGAATAAAGCTGTCACATCTTCATGTATATGGGTGATGAGAGGGCTGGAAGGGTGTAGAAGAAGGTTGATAGTATAATTGGATCAATGAAACACTTGCCAATTGGGACACACAGTAGTCCTCTGAGAATAGCCCATTGTCTTTTAAATATGTTGCAAAGCAGAGCCTGGGGACTGTGAACTAAACTTTCAAAAGGAAAGTCTAGAGTCTACAGTTTTGGAAATTTAGTTTGTTATTTATATAATAGTGGATGTGAGTGGTAACCAGAGGTTTATTGTGGAAACAAGATTCTCTTCTTTAAAGGGGACCTATTATGCCCCTTTTTACAAGATGTAATTTAAGTCTCTGGTGTCCCCAGAATGTGTCTATGAAGTTTCAGCTCAAAATACACAGATCATTTATTATACCATGCCCAAAATTACCCTTTTTGGGTGTGAGCAGAAACACGCTGTTTTCGTGTGTGTCTAAAAAGCAAATGAGCTGCTTCTCCCCGCCCCCTTCCAGAAGAGGGTGGAGCCTATACAGCTCGTGCTTCGGATACTCCAGTAACAAAACTGGAGAATGTGAGTCACACAGCCATGGCCGGACTTACCATTGGGCTTGACTGGGCTGCAGCCCATGGGCCCCGCCTTGTAGGGGGCCTCGCCTTTGCCTGTTCACGTTTGTTTAATTTGTTCAGTTATGCCAGTCAGAAATTATTAGCCCGCATTTCCACTGCGCATGCAAGTGCTAAAGGAGCCAGCCGGGGCTAACATCTTCCAACTATGACCTTCGAGGCCATAATCAAACAGCAAAAACTGGTATTTATGATTAGTTCACACAGAAGAAGGACACACGTATTCAATCACATTATTTTCACTCATTAAAACAGTTGCTGCCACAGGCGGTTGTGGTTTCACATTTAAAAAAAGTTGCTTATTATTTCATTTTTGCAATCATTTAATATTTCTACATTAAAATGTTAAAACTTAACATAATTCATGCAGAATCTATATATGGATTTTGTTGATAGTAATTTCATTTGATTGTTAATAGCCAACGTATTTTTATTCGGATTGAATTTATTGATTCAATTTAAGAATCTGGCATAAGAGGACACATATAGGCTATGACAATACATTTTTATAATACTAATACATCTCTGTCTTTTTTTAGCTCAGTGTAACTTCAGGGTTTTGATCTCTCAACTGAGAGAACATATCCGGTTTATTGTATTATACACTCTCAGAAATAAAGGTACAACAGCTGTCACTGGGGCAGTACCTTTTCAAAAGGTACACTTTTGTAACTATTAGGTTCTAATATGTACACTTTAAGAACCAATATGTACCTTTAAGGTACCAAAATGGACCCTTTAGGTTCAAATAAGTACCTTTTGAAAAGGTACCTCCCCAGTGACAGCTGCTGTACCTTTATTTCTGAGAGTGTAATGACTATTTAATATTACATCTAAACTTTGACTAGTCTAGACATGTTGCATATTAATTGTACCTCAAAAACATATTTTAAATTTTTGCATATTTTGTGTTACTCCATAATGATGTTTTAGTTGAGGGCATTTGTAGTGTATGGGTATAGGGCCCAAACATAACCTCAAGCCAAGGGGCCCCCGGCCCCCTAAGTCCTGCTCTGCACACAGCTAATAGAATTCTCAAAGATGGATCAGTACCAACTGTTCGTGATCCAACTTCATATCCAGAACATGTAAGCACTGCACTTTATATTTTGTGGATGTGTGCAAATCGCCTTTCTGAATGTGCTTTATAGCATGCAGCAAGGCTAATGTGGCTAAAGCTACCATTGTCTCTGACTGTATTCACAGAAACCAGAGCTATGTCGTTATTTATTTTAAGAAGCAATACATGTGCGTTTATGAGTAAATTATACAGATGGTGAGCATTTTCGGGTTAAAAATAAAAATAACAACATAGCTCTGGTCTCTGTGAATACATTAAGATACGTGCTAACAAGCACATTCACAATATAAAGTGCGGTATTGCATGTCCTGAATATGATGATGGATCACGAACAGTTGGTATTGATCCATCTTTGAGAATCAACTTTTGTAAGTCCTTTAATGACCCTTGTTTGCAAAGCAGTCTTGTGATAATTTGCACAAACATATACGAATTTAGCTATTTTCTTGGGCACTTTTCCTTCGTGAATAAGATGAATCCACTGCGTCCACAGTGGCTCTGAGGCCGGGAGTTTATGGAGAATATATGTTCTTTATTATAGCCAACAACAGAACAGCTATAATGTTTATGTAGCTGACACATAGGCTATCACTAGCTGCTCTGGCAATGATATAAACATGGCGGACTGTGTGCGGTTCACTCAGGGTGGAATCTATGCTAATAGGGCAGATCGTCACCAGTGGGCGGGGCTTGACATCACAGTAGGGGAAAATCTGGAGCCGCTTGTTTGGAGAGACTGTCTATGATTTATAGGGATTATAAAAAAAGGATTGGGTGGATTTTTACCATTATAGGCTTGTTGTTTACACACACTGTGGATACACATCTGTGTTCAAACACCTTATAAAAGTGAATTTTGCATATAGGCCCCCTTTAATTTAGATGCACTTTACATGTAATTTGATTGCACATCCTAGTAGTCAAATGTTTTACTCCATGCTGTTAATATTTCTCAAAGCTTTACGTTTAATAATCAATTTCTGCATACATACCTTAAAGTCTCTGCTACAAAATAGCTATTTCCACTGTTGTTTCCTAGGAAAAAGATCCAGACCATTTAAAACATGTTGGCAATTAGTGGGGCATGTAGTCACAGCTGGAACCTGGAATTAAAAAACCTATTATAAACTTAATAAAATGAAACAAATTCCAAAACAAACAGAAACTCTATCCATCCATCTTTTTATCCATCCATCCTTTAAAGGCAGATCTCCTCCAAAAGCTAAAGACTGTCAAACATTTCATCTCTAGTCTTGATATTTCTGGATATTTTGATTATACAAACGTCATTATAAGAGATTACTAACTGACAAGCAAGGAGAAGCTCTATTTTTATTCTCTTAGATTCAGAACATGTGAGATTCCCTATCTTTAGTACTACTTATTCATTCTTTGGCAAGCCATTTAGCAGTGAAAGTACACCCTCCTTTCCGCAGTAATGATTCTCTATGGGGACTTAGCCTGTATAGCTTCTTAAAGCAGGCCGCCCGTCAATCACGATAGTCAGAGTTATTCACTCTCTGCCGCTTCCGGTTTCACTCTGGACCTCAGCGCGCGCGAACTCGGGAAAAATATATCGAGACTTTTCTCTGTCATCCAGTACTGTTTAATCCTGTTCAAAGTGTGGTTTGGAATGATCACTGGACGCTTATTCCGTTCATGGCCTTAATATTGGCTTTAGTAGCACTTTAAAGAGAAAGAAGATCACCTGTAACAGTTGACCAATGACACCTGTTGTCTCTTCAGCGCTCGCTTTAAGAGAAACTGCTGTAAACAAACCACGGGGATATTTGAACGTTTGATGACGCAGTTAAGATGAAAGTTACTGTAAGTTTCGGGGAAACGAGGATTGTCGTCCCGTGTAAAGACGACTGGATGGTACGGGATTTGATCGATCAAGCCACTCAAAGATACAAGAAGATTATTGAACAGGTAACGTGTTGTTTTTAAGTTTGAAAAACAGATAAAAAGAAATGTATAGATTCGATTATTCACTGTGGATTGTTTAAATATGATTACTTTGAGACAAGGGATTAGAATTATTGAAAAAACTACACCTGTTTACCGGGGTAGCGAATCCTACTATGACGAAGGCGTGGTTCATGAATATTAATTAGACCCCACTTGAGGCTGCTTCAGAACTTTGCGAAGAGGAAAGCGAAGCTCATTAATGCTACGTATGGCTGAAGTTTCTAGCCTCGTTAATATGAAAAGTAATCCCTCACCATAGTACGATTGTTAACCGGGTGTGCCCGCAAGCTCAGATCACGTGATCTCGAGCTGTCAACACTGACATTTTTCAGATTTCTGGCCAATGTTTTGAATATTCATTATCTCTAGACATTTCTGCAGTCTGATACTGGGGTAAAAGTTTTGTCCAGCGCCTCAAATATGCAAATATGATCTTTAAGACTGCACAGTATATGTCTGGGAAATTAGGTACTGAATTCGATCGTAAGACCTGGCTGTTACCAGCAGCGACTTTCACTTCACTTTGGTGTGAATGGTTAATACAGTTTGAACACACACACACACACACACACACACACACACACACACACACACACACACACACACACACACACACACACACACACACACACACACACACACACACACACACACACACACACACACACACACACACACACACACACACACACACACACACACACACACACACACACACACACACACACACACACACACACACACACACACACACACACACACACACACACACACACACACACACACACACACACACACACACACACACACACACACACACACACACACACACACACACACACACACACACACACACACACACACACACACACACACACACGTCTATTGTCTATATATTGTATATACGGTTGTATAAACGGAAAGTAGCACAATTGAATTAAACATGAAATTTTGAAGTAAAAAGACAGAAATAGCATTTTCTTGTAAAACAGTAATCTTCGCAGTAATCTTTGTTTTAATTACAACTTAAATGTGTAAAATGTGTTCTAGCAGACCGTTTATTGGGCGATTATATCTTTTGCATTATTTACGTTTATTTTGATGTTTGTTATTTGCAGTATTTGATGGTGTTTTATTTTTATAAGTAACAGCCATGATTGTTCAGATTGAGAATGCATATAAAAAGGTCGTGCATTGCATTTATTTTAATATTTTGTTATAATGGGAGAAATATTGCTTCTTAATAATAAATTGTGCAATTTTCAGATCTTCTAATTAATTAATGCAATACTCAGATCTTCTAAATTTCATCATTCATTTATAAATAAACAAACATGTCTCAACTATATTCCACTATAGAGGGGATATCTTTGATATCTGTACGTGTTTATGTTTTCCTCAGTGAGCACCAGTCAATACTGCAATGGTTGGTCACCGTTAACTATTCTATTCCTTTTGTCCAGCTTCTGCACTAAATGCCAGTTGGAATAAAGCGGGACTTACGTGACGAACACAGCCGTGTCATTAATCGCTCCCTATCTCCAAATGCAGGTCGCGGGCTGTGTTTGATTAGTTTGGCCTGGGCTCTCGGGCTGAGATGGCTGGCTTTATGGGAGGTTTTAGTATGCCTGACTGATGGATGTTATCGGCTGAGATTGGTTCAGTCGGATGGGATGGGACAGTGCCAGGCGTGCTGGGGTAGACGTGGGAGCTTTATCTATTCTGTCAACCCACCTCTCTGGTCTCGTGCGTCACTGAAGTATTGAGCCCTTCATCTATGATAGCGGTGCATCCGTGATGCAGTTCTCCTTGATTAGACCTTGTGCATATTCGCGTAACAAATGGGCAATTTGTGTTGATGTTAATTGTAAATTTTGAGATGCAAATGTGACTCTGCTATGGATTGATGCTTAATTTTACATTTACTTTGAGATATGAGCTGTTATTAGTTTATGGTATGGCCGGTTTATAATGATGTCAACAATGAAATCACATTATGCATTATTAATGAAGGCCAGGGTCCCATTTTGTGAATGTGGCTGCATGATTATTTGAATAAGTTTAAGGTTAACTCTACCAGGGCTGCACAGTTACGATTTTTGGCTTCCCGTTTATATCTACTCCAGTTCCATTTAGGATGCAACATGTATTTGCAGTGGTTGTGCGTTGTAACCAAAGATCAAAATCTCTGCGTATTTTATGTTCAATTGACAATTATAATTGCTGACTAATATGTGTTGCCAGTTGTAGGATCTTTTAAATGTTTTTGAAAGAAGTCTCTTATGCTTACCAACGCTGCATTTATTTGATAAAAAAATACAGTAAACTGTATAACGTTATGTATACAGTAATACAGTAATATTATAAAATATTATTAAAATATAAAACAATTGTTTTCTATTAGAATATATTTTAAAATATAATTTATTCCTGTGATGCAAATCTGAGTTTTCAGCAGCCATTAATCCAGTCTTCAGTGTCACATGATTGTTCAGAGAGAGAAAAAAAACATGCTGACCCAAAACTTTTGAACGGTAGTGTACATTGAAGCTAAGGGGGGCAATATATCTTTATTGAAATAACTATCTATATGATATACTGAAGAAAGAACAATGCTTTTTTTGTTATTGCAATTGGCAGACAATTTTAAAGTTGAAAAACATACAGAAAAAACAGATCTCTATTACAGGTGTTTGGAGGGGAGAGGTTGAGAAATAAAAGCTTTTGGTGAATTTATTATAAAACAAACTTCCTTTTTTTTTTGGTACTGGTTACTGGTAAATCCACCTTATTCAACCTGCTGAGCTACTGCTATGCTTTTGAAAATATAGTTAGTCCACAGTGAAGTGAAACTATCTGTCCCACTCAATAATGTTTTTGTGTCCAGCAAGATCTCACACACTGGTTGAGATTACCTCACTGACAGCAGAGGAAAACTGCTTTATTATCCTGCCATAGCTGGGCTCGGTCAGGCCGCTGCTAACCTCTGAGGATGGTTGGAGAGCTGACTTGGCAGGCAGCACTGCTGAGATCACTACAAGTGGCACACTTCCAAGAGCACAAAGCCTTCGGCGTCAGCAGCCATCACTACAACAAATTGCTCTGGCATTAAATGTCACAATGGATATGCAATATCAAGTCTTATAGGACCATTCCTATGCATATGCTTAAAAGGAATAGTTCACCCAAAAATAAAAATTTGCTGAAAATGTACTCACCCTCAGGCCATCCAAGATGTAGATGAGTTTGTTTCTTCATGGAAACTTAATTTTTTCATGGAAACATCACTTGCTCACCAATGGATCCTCTGCAGTGAATGGGTGCCGTCAGAATGAGAGTCCAAACAGCTGATAAAAGCATCACAATAATCTACAGGTAATTCACACGACTTTAGTCCATCAGCTAATGTATTGTGAAGTGAAAAGCTGCCTGTTTGTAAGAAACAGATGTATCATTAAGATGTTTTTAACTTCAAATCATTGTTTTAAGCTAAAATATAAGTCCTCAATGCTTTCTCCAGTGAAAAAGTTGTCTCCTCTGAATCAGGAGAGAAATCTGCACAGATTAAGCACTGTTTGCAACCAAAAACAGTCCAAAACAGTTCTAAACAAATATGTCATTGGATTTTGACGTGAGAGGACAACAGGAAGCATCATTATGGATTATTGACTCATATTTTGGCCAGAAGCAACTATTTAAAGTTTAAAATTGTGTTAATGATGGATTTGTTTCTCAGAAATATGCAGCTTTTCACTTCATAAGATGTTAATTGATCGACTGGAGTTGTGGGTGGATTGCTTGTGGTTTATTGTGATGTTTTTATCAGCTGTTTGGACTCTCATTTCTGATGGCACCCATTCACTGCAGAGGATCCATTGGTGAGCAAGTTATGTAATGATACATTTCTCCAAATCTGTTCCCGATGAAGAAAAAAAACGAATCTACATCTTAGATTGCCTTAGAGGGTGAGTAAATTTTCAGCAAACATTTATTTTTGTGTGAACTGTTCCTTTTAAAGTGACCGTATTTACATCATTAACGCATGTTACTGCTATTATTGTCCACTGTTCATCTGTGCATGTTTTCCAAAGAAGAAAAGTTTGTCTTTGAAATCTCTCGTCAGAATTGCTCAGCTTCTGAAATGACTTTTCATATTGGTTACATCGAAACCCTCTAAAAGTATAAGCCCAAACCTTATTTTTCAACCCCTCTGCTCCAATCACTCCTCCATTCACTCACTTTTCACTATCCAGTCATTTTTTTTGTCCCAGCTCTCTTTAGAATACATCAGATTATGAAGGTAAAATTGTTTGAAAATGTTGTTAAGACAGTTTAGCCATGATTGATTAATGACTGTAAGGTCAAAGCAAATATAAAAAATGCCATTGTGTATTCCATGTTTGCAAAATGCAAGTCTTTTCGGTTAGTTTATCAAAAAATGTAAGTGTAGTAAGCCACGTGATTTGAGGAGTTGTAGCACAAACCATGCAGGATGAGTTTTGCTGACATTTAGTACTTTGCGCTAGGGGTTTGTTCAGATCATTAACCCTTACACAAAAGTAATCATAATGCGCTTGCCTTAGCAAAACAAAACAAACAAACAACAACAACAAAATACGTAATTAAAGATTGTAGCTCTGAGGAATCATTTACAATTAGTGCATGTTGAAATGACTTCTCAGTTCTCATAGATGGAGAGACTGATTACTGGTTGTGTTTGACATTTGAGACCAAACAACTCCTCAGAACTTCCTGCTGTTTCATACACAGGTAATCAGATCTTGTATGTTTGGTTTTCTCATGGTGTTTTAGAGGATTTGTGGTGGCAAAACAAGAAAGAACAAAATAGTTAAAGGGGTCATATGATGCTATTTTAAATGCTGTGAGATCCAGTGTGAAGTGCTTGAATTCAGCATGAACACAAATGACTCGGTGATTTAAACTAGTTTAATGCCAAACAG